GGGGTTACACGGAATAGGATCTAAGCAAGAATCATATATTGTAGAATCAGGATATGGAAAATTCGTATCTATATTTGAATTGTCTAACCATCCTTATCTAAAGAGAATCGAAATCGGAGATAACTGTTTTGTAAATGTGCAATCATTCAGCATTAATGGGCTAAATCAATTGAAGAGTATAAAAATCGGAAATGGATCTTTTTATGAAAGTAGATGGGGTTATACAAATATGGAATCGAAATCATTTCACATTGCGAATTGTGAATCATTGGAATCCATTCAAATTGGTGAATATAGTTTCCTTTATTTTTCTGGATATGTCGGGATAAACAATTTGCCACAATTACAATATATATCTTTTGGTCCTTGGGCATTTTCTTATTCCAAAAATATCGAAATGGAGAGTATAGAATTTCTCTGAATAGTATGATTTTTCTAGATCTTCCAAATCTTAGTCACATTACATTTGGTTATGGAGCTTTTTATTATTTCTCTTTTAGGTTACAAGGTATGGATATTTTAAATAGTGAGTATGTTTAGATCTTCCAAATCTACAATCTATTTCTTTGGGCGAAAGAGCATTCGGGAATGGTGGAAGTTACTTTTTATCCAACTTAACATCGATACAATCAATCGAAATAAGTGATAATAGATTCAAAGAAGTAAGTTATTTTCAAATCAATGGATTGAATCGATTGAAAACCATCAAAATCGGAAATAATTCATTTTCTAATGATTATGGAGATGATGAATCGAAATCATTCCACATATTGAATTGTGAATCATTGGAATCCATTCAAATTGGTGAATCTAGTTTTAGTCATTTTGGAGGCGACTTTGAATTGAAGAATCTACCACAATTACAATCCATTCAAATTGGTACAATTGGAAGTTATTCACGCAATTTCCGGTACAGTTCATTTGTGATTCGAGGTATTGATATGATATTGAATATTTGGGTAATGAATAGATCTTCCAAATCTACAATCCATTACATTAGGTGATTATGCATTTTGTAGATCACAAACAACAATAATTGAAAGTATTGAATGAATTCGAATGAAATGATTGATGTAGATCTTCCATCATTACAATCCATTCAACTCGGTGAAGAAGCACTTGCTGGAATAGATTATTATTCTTGTTTATTGACACTTCGAAGTAATAATGAATTGATTGGTTATGATTTGCTTTGTAGATCTTCCAAATTTAATATCCATTAACAATTCTGAGGGAGGTAGTTTTTACTATCCTCGTAAGTTAACTCTGGAGAGTTTAATCAATAATGGTGATTGATGCATTTAGATGTTCCAAATCTTCAAAATGGCAATCTATCTGACTTATTTAGGAATGTTATTAGAATTGATGCTTGGAGTGAATGTCATTCTTGTAGTTAACAATAGATTGCTCTAGTTTACTTCATGAATATTGTTATTGTCAATCTTACTTTCAATCAGTCAATTCATCTGTTACACATATGATAATTCCTAATTGGACTTGTTATGATTTTAATTATTTAACTTTTGATATTTATACATACAATTCAGTTAAATCAATAGAAATAGGAAATGATTGTTTTAGAAAAGTTCATGCATTCAAAATCGATGGATTGAATCACTTAGTAAGTTTGATTATTGGTAACAATTCTTTCAATACGTTATCTACTTCTTTTTTAAGTAATTCCCATTTTGTATCAGAATGGAAATGGTATAGTGATGAATCGAAATCATTCCACATATTAAATTGTGAATCATTGGAATCCATTCAAATTGGTCGATATAGTTTCAGTGATTTTGCTGGAGACTTTGAATTGAAGAATCTACCACAATTACAATCCATTCAAATTGGCATAATGAAAAGTAAATCAACGAATTTCTATTGGAGTTTATTTGTAATTCGAGGTATTGATACGATATTGAATATTTGAAAGTTTAGATCTTCCAAATCTACAATCCATCACATTAGGTTATTGGACGTTCATGTATTCCTTAAATACAATCATTCAAAGTATTGAATGAATTTGATTGAGTTGATTGATGTAGATCTTCCATCATTACAATCCATTCAACTTAGTTACTGTGCACTTGATGGAAGATATGATGATAAATGTTCCTTGGTAATGCAAAGTATGAATGAAATGATTCGATATGATTGAATGCAGATCTTCCAGTTCTAACATCACTTACTTCTTTAAAATGGAGCTTTAGATATCCTCGTACAGTAGTATTGAAAGGTAATCTCTATTTTGAATATTGTCAGCATTTAGTTATTCCAAATCTTCAAATTGTTAATCTACCATATGATGATGACAAACCTACATTCGGGTATGTAACGTCAAAAAGAATATATAGTTGTGGTTGGTTCCTAAATATTCAATTGTAGATGTTTCTTCCATTCTCGCTGATCTTGTTTAAATAGAAAGGAAAATGTTTGTGATTGATAATATTCGATCTTTTGATTGCATAGTATTTTCCTTGTCATTTCGTTATTTGTTGGAACAAACCATGTGCTTTATAAATTCTATATTCTCTAAACAATATAGAGAAGTAAAGTGCTAAAAATACAAGTACAATATATTTTTATTCATATAATTCTACTATAATTTGATTGAATAAAGTGATATGAATTGAAAATGGATACTGTTTAGAGAGAAGTGTTAATTTATCCTCAATAATAATAATACACGTACTATTGTTGTTATATGTCAATTATTAGGTCGATTGTGACGTGACTTGAAAAGAAGAGTCATATAAAGTCTTTTTTCAGTTCACACTATCATATATCCATTCAGTTTCAGAGTTGATTTTTATGAATAATGGTGTTATACAAACAATTGCTACGTTTTGTATTAGAGAGTATTATTTCAATTCTGTCGAGTTAAGTATTCTTGCATCGTTGGCACCAAAGAGCATTTTTTTCTTATAATAGAGTGGATGATAAAGCAAAACACATTTCTATTATTGACACTGAGCAATACCCTGTAGTCTCAGTTTGGATCTTCCATTTCTCAACAATTCTTCGGTTTCATTTTTATCATCGATTTCATGAATGATTGGAACATACTAGTTCAGCCAATATGGGCTGTGTTGATCAAAAAAGTCAATCGATGGATTGGATTGTTATTCGTGCTCAATGAATGATCGTAAGGGGTATGAAACAAGCGAACAGAAATGGCTAGTAAGTACTGAATATTCACTAATCATAGAACTGAATACATTACATTGCTATATGGAATGTTACAATTAACAATCGCCTATCAATCGTAGTACAATGCAGCGTATATCAATTTTGACAAGATCAGCTAGAATGGATGAAACATCTATGAATAACATCAAATCAAGCAAACTATACTCGAAATTGATTTCGATCGGACACACTGGAATGGACGATCATCCCATTCGATACATAGCTTGACCTTTTTAAGATTTGAATATCTACGATTTATTATCATTTCATAAGGAGAAAAACTCCTCAAATTCACAGTAGCAGGATAAAAGAAGTTGCTTCCTTCGGGAATTGATGAATTTTAGATTTGGAAGATCTACAAAGCAAATCATTTAGAATCAATTTTATAGTATTACTTCGCATTATCAGTAAACAGGATGAATCATCACTTCTTCCACAAAGTGCACTATAACCGAGTCGAATAGAGAGTAATGATGGAAGATCTATATCAATCATTTCATTCACATTCATTCAATACTTTCAATTATTGTTGATAAGGAATCACAGAATGCTTCATAACCTAATGTAATGGATTGTAGATTTGGAAGATCTATGCATCATTCAAATATTCAATATCATATCAATACCTCGAATCACAAATGAACTAGAATAGAAATTGCATGACCAATTTCCAATTGAACCAATTTGAATGGATTGTAATTGTGGTAGATTCTTCAATTCAAAGTCGCCAGCAAAATCACTGAAACTATATTCACCAATTTGAATGGATTTCAATGATTCACAATTCAATATGTGGAATGATTTCGATTGGTCACTTCCATGACTATATTTATTCTGAGTAAATGAATTGCTTCCGATTTTGATAGTTTTCAATCGATTCAATCTATCGATTAGGAATGTTTGCACTGAGCCAAAACAATTACTGCCGATTTCGATTGATTTCAATTTCAAAAACAATGAAACATTCCAATCATCCAATACACAATTGTCAATCAGTTTCAAATACTTGATCCCGATATCTATTAGCTCGCTTCCATCTCCACAATACCCTATAAATTCTTCACATTCAATTCCATTATACCATTCACATTCTTTTATGAATTTGCCAGATAGATCATACACTTTTCCAATTCCAAATCGATTATCATCACACCAATATCCTTCATATTCAATACATCCATTATTATGATAACTCGTTCCATATCCAAATCGTTTCCAATTGATCATTATGCCCTTGTACACCAAGAATCCATTATCATCATACATTTCACCATATCCAAATGGAATTCCAATTTTACCTTCGTTTTCTTTTTCTTTTTCTTTTTCTGCCAATACCAACCCTTCAAATCGACTTCCATGATCCAAATCAACTATTCCTTCTTCTACTTCTATGGATTGTTCTTCATTATATGAAATAGCACCAATTTGATGATTTCCAAACACTTTCAACACTTTCTGCTCATTGAGGATAAATCCTTGATTCATGAATACCCCATTATCGAATTGCAATACTATACATTCTCCATTACTCAAAATGAACGAAATCCAGCCATCCACTTTCATTTCGTTAATCAAGTGTCCTTGAATATTTAGAATAATGGAACTATCAATATAATAGTTTTTAATAACAGAATTGACAATATACGCCATACTCAACATAAAATAGGGGGTAATGAATAACCCTTGCCTAGAAGGCAAGATCTGCTTCATTTTGAATGCAATCTTTGAATGCAATATATGTACACATATTACCCTCTTTACTCATCCATTCTCTAATCCTATTCGCATGCATCAACCTTTTATCAACAAACAGATTAAACGTTCAGAATCATTCCATCTTCACCCACTTCGACATTCCCTTCAAAATACCTCCCCGCTTCAAATCGCATCATTTCACGAATCGCTCTCTTATGTCCCTCTGATTTCGCTTGATATCTTCCTCCGATATGTACTAAGCAGAGCTTTTTAGCATGAACCTTCTGAGCAAATTGCGCCGCTTGTTTTATCGTCGAATGGCCGATGCTCGGAGCACGCAATTCCGCGCGATTCCACTTTTCTGAGAGTTCGGGATCGTTGTCGATTTGATTCTGAATTGTTTTCCATTCGGTTTCAGAACAATCGAGATAATCACGATTGATGTCCGAAAGAATCGGACCCACCGTCGCTTCGTGCACTAATACATCGCAGTTCATTACTAACTCATTCATATGACTAAATTGAATGCGAATAACGCGTTTACGATGAATCACACGTATCGCCAAAAATAGCCACTTTTTCTGGATGACCCACTTTCTTTTCAATGCAGTAGCCGTGGCAACGCACACCGTGAATTAATCTTCCTGAACGTACAGTGAAAGCAGGGTTCTAAGGAAAAGGAATAGAAAAGAGAATACCGAAAACACGGTCCAATAACCGTCTGCATCAGGATAAATAGCAGAAACAGATATAAAAGAGTATTTATTCTCTTTAGCTACTAATAAACAACGAAAAAAGCAACTACCAGACAATTCTTCTCCAGGATTCAGGAATTCATAAATCGCTATAGGAATTCCAATATGTGTATCGGTTAGAAAAAGAATGGAAGTGAGCAACTGAGCTATACCTCTTGGTCCGTAAACTTTAAAAGCAGAATTATTTCTTTTCAAATAACCTAAAATATAGGGAACAGACAAAAAATAAAAACCATTACAAAGGATAGATAACAGAGAAGCTAGACCACCCACATGATCCAAATGAAGATGTGTAATAAACACCCTTGATATGGAAGCTGCCGTACACGGTGTATTCTGGTGATAAATATTCGTTACTGTAGCTAAAGGTCACAGTATTCTAAGAATCTAATACCATCGCCACAATCAAATAGCCAGCTTTCAGGTTTCCCATTCTTCCCTTGAAAAGTGTAACCGATTCCGGAATCTACTCATTACGAACTTACTGGCTCATCTACTGTTTCTAGAAACATTACTGTGACTGCCTGTACCAAAGAAAGTAAGAGAAGAACTCATAAAATAAGAATATGTGATATGAACTGTGTATTACAAACTAGATTGTTACTCTCTATTGAGGATCGTTTACTTATGAAATCATATGTCGTTCAACAGAGTCATTGTGTATATAAGCCTAAGAACAATGAGTTGTCGGATTGCCTTTTTGTCCTGCTGCATTGTTTGTGACCATCGCTAGGCTCTTTTGGGGTATAAATGGAACTCGGTGAATTTCAAGTAAATACATTGAGCCTAAATAATGTGAGGGCTTTTTACCATACAATTTCCTTTTTTTCTGGAGGACATTATTGATTCATAAAATGCAAAACGCTATTATTGCATCTATTATGAATCGTTTTCTACCTTCGATTCTCGATGTTATCGATTCTCAGAATGTGGATATTTCTTTTAGTGAAGGGTCATTTGTGCTGTCAAAACTGGTACAATGCATAATAGTGAATATATGCGTAGAGTTTTGCAAAGTCTTTTTTGACATCTCTTGTTTCCCCTGTTTTAATCAAGGAGTTGAAGTTAGATACGCTATCTATTTCCGTATTTACTTTTCCTCTATCTTTTTCATAGATTCCATGGAAAACGTTTCCCCGCAAGCCCATTCGTATATCACTGGATGGTATCCAACTTGTTGCAGCCTATTCTGATCGTTTCGGGACACCTTCAACGGAGATTACCCCTGACTCAAATCGTTCGGAGGCAGAAAAGAATCAGAGCAATTCCTTTGACCCTATGCGTTTTGCAGACATATTTCCATTGTTATCGTCTCTCTGTAACAGTATTGATCTCTCTGTTACCAATCTTCACGTGCGTTTCGAAATGGAAAAGTAGTTTCTTTCATTTATTTTTTAATTTGCAGTTTAGGTGGAACCTCCACTGCAGGTTTCCTCGATTTCTCTCTGGATGAAATCTCATTCCGATCTCCCGACGCTCCGACCGAATCCATCCACCAACTTCTCACCCTACGCGGCCTCTCCTTGTTCTGGACTCTGAAAGCCCCGACTTCTTCCTCCCGAACCCACCCCGAACCTCCAACCGGAACTCGATTCCCGGACGTTTCTGCGGACCCAACGCGATGTCTGCTGAAGGACTTCGGTCTCCGCGTGGATCTCCGCGGCCATCTCGCTCGCATTGAGGACCGTCGACGCGACTTGGCTTCGTGTCTGCGATCGGCTTCGCTGCCCTCCGCGCTGCGATCTCGGCTTTTCTCGGTCGCAGAGAGCGTCGAGTGGACGTCTGCTGAGAAGCTCTGGAACGCTCTCGCGCTCTCCTGTGGGGAGGAACTGGAGAAACTGGGGAAACCGGAGGAGGTGATGGAGTGGAAGGGTGCAATGGAGCGGGTTGTGGAGATGCTTGGGACGCCGCGGCCGCTTGTCGAGGTGGATTGCTGCGTGGGATCGATCGATTTGAACGTGTCCAAGAAGCAGATCGATTTCCTAGCGAAGCTTTTGGGAGCTTCCTCTTCGTCTTCGTCTTCGTTGAGTCCCAGCGAGTCAACAGCAAATGCAACGAACAAACCGGCGAACAATCCAACGAGTAAACCAGCAAATAGTCCAATGAACAGTCCAGCAATCGACTCATCCATCAATTCAACAAACGGCACAGCAGTCAAAGCGGAAGAGTTGACCGATCCTTTGCCCCAACCAGCTGAAGATTCATCGCCTGTGTATGTGTTCGGCGCTCTTCCTTTTGCTCTTCACCTCCTAAACGGTCTCTTCTCTTCGCGATGGCTGTTCTTTTACGTGCTGGGCGTGCTCTTCTCCCTCCCACTACTCTTCTTTCACCCATTCTTCTATCTAGTGATGCTCCTTCCGCTTCTCATCGCCGCAGCAGCGGATTGGATCTATCTCTCTCACCTCTACTCCAAACTCAACGCTTCAATCGACCCTTCCTTCCACGCTCGCGAGCAGTTCGCTTTTCTAGCAGTGCATTGGGACGGACTTCGCTTCTCTCTCACCAACGACTGCGTTGAGCCCTGCTTCGACCCGCTCTCTCTTTCCATCTCGCCTCTCCAAGCCTCCCTGTCGCTCGGGAAAAACAAGCAATCGCTCCATTGCCAATTGGACGGCTGCTCGCTTCTCGACGGCGTTTCGACGCGAGAGAAAGGTCGGGAGTGTTGGCTTCTGACAAGTTCTCCTGTGTCGATGAAGGGAGAAGCGCTGCCTGCGACGCTGCCGCTGCTTTGTGTGGATGCGCAGATGGAGAAGAAGGAGATCAAAGCGTCGGTGGAAGTGGGAGATTTGAATTGTGTGGTGTCGCCGCGGTTTGTTTTGTCGGTTTTGGAGTTCATTCCGATGGAATTGCTGAGTGAGAAACCTGAACACGCAGCCATGGAAGACGATTCTGCAACGAACAATGTGAATAATGAAGGAGCGAAAGAAACAATAATAACAACAACAACAGAACAACCATCCAATGAAATGGTCAAATCGAATGAGTCGCAATCTTTTGTTTTTAAAGTTTCCTTGTCTTCGGTGGGCGTGATGGTGGATACCGATGCTTCCTTCCCGCTCGTGTACCTCAACGCTTCCGCATTGTCGTGTTCTGGGAGCTTCAGTTCGCAGGCTTCTTCGTTGAGCGTTGGACTGGGAAGGATTCAATGTGTGGACGCCACGCCAGGCGCTGGAATGTACAGTTCGATCGTTCGGTGTGGCGGAGAAACGGAGGATCCGTTTGTGAAGGCGGGTGTGGAGATTGCGCCGTCGATGTCGGTGGATTGTGAGATGGGCGAAGTGTCGATTGCTGTGCGGTTGCGATTTGTGAAGGAAGTGATTCATTTCTTGACGAAGGGATCGGTTCCTGTGATTCTTGAAACTTTGAATGAAATAGTGAAAAAGAATGTGGGAAATAAAACGAATGATGAACCGGAATCCAGTGAATTGAATGAATCAAAAGATGTGAATGAATTGAATGAATCAAATGAGTTGGATGGTTCTCTTCTTGCTGATTCTGTAAACTCTTCTGTTCCTGAGCCCGCAAAGAATTCTCTTTTTTCGATTCATTTCCGTCTGTCCCAATTCTCTCTGATTCTCCCAGAAGCCAGCGAGTCGCATAATCAAATGGTTTTCTCCTTCTCCACTTTCGATGGATCAATGCGTGACTCGCTTTCTCTTTCTCTTCACGATATCCACGCGTTTACCACCATCAGCGATTCGATTTATCCCCTTCTTCCCAAATTCGATCTCTCGCTTTCGCTTTCTCTTTTCGACTTTTCGACCATCCACGTGGATATTCTTACTCCCCTTCTTCTCACTCTCTCCGAATCTTCCATTCACCATCTCCTCCATCTTGTCCTTTCCAACATCCAAGAATCTCCTTTACTCGATAAGATTCTAACTCCATTCGACTCAAAATCGGCAAACAATCCTCCTACACAATCCGAAGCAGTAGTTTCATCGAATTCCAAGCAGCAATCAACGGATTCAGACTCGCACTTATCAATCCATTTCCATTGCTCTGGAATTGGCGTTTTGTTTTCAGCGTCTGCTACTTCAATTGAAGGTCATGTGAGCGGAAGCGAGTTGTTTTCATCTCGTTCCATTCCGAACTCTCTGTGTTTGCTATCTGTTCGAAACATTCTTCTGCACTGTTCTCTTCAAAACCAATCCACCAAACTCGAAGGATTCATCGAATCGTTTGGCATTTGCGATACTCGCTTCGATTCTCCTCTTTCGGATCCTTTCCGATCTCTCCTGCAGGGAGGATCCAAATCGAAGCCTTTCTGCTCGTTTTTTCTGGGAATGGAGAATCAAACCGGCAATCTGGACGAGGAATCGAAGCTTTCTGTAACTGCGAGAATGGGTTCGATTTCGATTCTGCCCACGTGTTTTGTATTTTCGATGCTGGATGAGTTGTTCCTTTTCGCGAATCATTTGCTTGCTGAAGTGCTTTCTATTGATGTGAATAATCTCTTTTCCTTCTTACAACCCATCACCAATCCAAATCCAAATCCAAACTCCAATTCTGATTTGGAGTTGAATGAATCATCCGAATCTTCATCCACTTCTTCCTCATCCCCCACCTCCATTTCTCTTTCTTTCCTTCTCGAACGAATCGCTTTGGGTCTCATCGACAATCCGCATTCCAAATCCTCCTCCGTTCTTCTCACAGGATTCGGCGTGGGACTTTCTCTCTCTCTTTCTCCCTCGATGGATCTGCAGCTCAACGCGAAGCTTCTCGATCTTCGATCCTGTCGAAGCGATTCTTCGCTGCGTTTCCCTCCCACCGACATGAGCGATGCCATTGCTCCGTTCGCTCTCGACTGCTTGGTTTCTATGCTCCAACATCCTCAGCCCCAAATCCGAGTCGACGTTTCCACGGTTTCTACATTTCAACTTCGGCTCGGCGTTCTCGATTTCGGACTCGTTCATCATTTCTTGTCCCATTTTTTTCCTTCCAATGGCGTTCACTGGGAGAAGTATTCGATCCAACTCCCTGAATCGGGCAATTCTCTCCCCACGAACGAGCCAATCAAACCCGAAACTTCCCAATCCGAAGCAATACTCACTGAAACTCTACCTTCTGAATCAATCCAGTCCGATACTTTACCTTCTGAATCAATCAATTCTGAGCCAAAATCCGAGTCTATACAATCCGACATTCTCCAATCAGAAGCTTCTTCTTCCTCTTCTTCTTCTCTTCACGTTTCCCTTTCTCTCCCCGAAATCTGCTTCCTGCTCGTGAACGACGCCCTGGAGTTCGAGCTCCCCGTGCTTCAGCTTTCCATCCACTCTCTCCAAACCTCCCTCGATTTGCACTCCGCTCTCTCGCTCCGCGCCTCGCTTTCTCTCTCCGGAGACTACTACAAGCAGAGCACAGCGGTCTGGGAGCCGTATCTCGAGCCCTGGCCGCTCTCTCTCTCCGTCTCGCAGGAATCCTTCGCCTCTTCGCTGTTCCAATCGAACGATCAAGCGATCGACGTCTCCGTCCACGCAGACTCCCTTCTCTTCCTCAACGTCTCCGCTCCCTTACTGGACTCGCTCGCCAAAGCCATGGAGTGCGTTTTTCACTGCGGATCCAGCGATCACGTGCGAGGCGACGGGAGTTTCATCGCTCTTCGGAACCAAACCGGCTATCCGATGTCGTTCCACGTGATCGGCGATGAGGGATTGAATCAAACGCTTCTCTCGAAAGCCAGAGAGCGAAGACAGCGAGAAGAAGCCGATGAAACGCTCTGGGAGGGACTGGTCTCTGAGGAATTCGATTCGAATTCGATTGTGTGGATGGAGATTCATTCTCAATCCCCGCGGATTCGCGTGTTCCGATCGATTCCAACGCGTCTGAACGAAGTTCCCTGCGAGGCTGTGGATCGTTTCGAACGATCGGATGATCACGTGACGCTTCCTTCGACTCGAATTCTCCGCGCGATTTCATTGGCCGACGCCGAATTGTGGGAAAAAATGGCGAAATCGCCCGCTTCCTTCGCGTGGAACGCGTCGAATTCGTCGAATTCGCTGGGAATCCCAGTGAGCCAGAAAGTGGAAACTGGGGAAGAAGTGGAGGTTTCGACGAGCCAATCGTTTTCGTCGCTGTTGGCGCATCCGTCGCTGGCGCTTCGATTTGTGGGGATTTCGGATCGCGCGTTGCCGCGTCGTTTGGTTTCGCTGAAGATCGCAGAATTCGATCCGATCCAGTGCAACGTGGACCACGAACGCGACGTGTTTGTGCCTTTAGAAAACAGGGAAACGGGGAAAAAGGAGAACGTGGTGTTTCATAACGAAGTGAAAAACGGAATGAAAGTGATTTCGGTGTCCTCGGCTTTGTGCGTGGAGAACCGAACCGACTCCGCTCTGTTTGTTTATTTCAGCTCCGTCGAAGGCGCCGGTGAGTGGGAGCCGCTGCGTCCCAACGACCAGCAGTTCTGCCCGCTGGCGCTAACGAAAGAAGCGATGCTCCACGTGACGCGATCGCCCCTTGGAGTTTCCAATGGAACTTCTTCGAATAGAACTTCTTCCAATGGAACTTCCAATGGAACTTCTTCGAATGGATCTTCGAGTGAAGTACTGAATGAATTACTGAGCGGAACGCCCGACCATTCCATTTCGCTTCGCAATCTCTCCAAAAACCGCGTTCAGTCCTCGCTCAACATCGGTACTCCGCAGTCTCCCTATTTCGTCCGCTTGGTTCTGCATCGGTCCACGCTCTTCGACGAATCGCAGCGTCGCTCCATCGACACTTATCGCCTCTGCATCGTCCCCATTCTCTCCTTCGCCAATCTTCTTCCCATTCCCATCGATTGCCTCATCGTCAACGGCAGCACCGTCCTCCAAAACGCATCCCTCCCCGCGGGAGAGCGCCTCGTTTTTCACACGGCCGACGTGAATCCGACGCTTCGAAGGGAAGAGCAGTCGATCCACATCCGAATCCGCCCGCGGGGATCCAAGCTGTTCTCGCTGTTCGATGAAAGCGTGCTTCCGATTCTGCGGGCAGACAGACAGGCGTGCTGGGTGTTCGATGCAGCGCTGCAGCCGCTGCGGTTGAGCTATGGAGTGACGCTGAGCGCGGAGGGCGTGGTGACGGTGGAGTTGTTTTCGGATTATTGGATTGTGAACCGAACGAATGAAGAGTTGATTGTGGCGGAAGAGAAGAAGAAGAAGGAGAAAGAAGACGAAGAACGCGTCATTCCGGCGCAGAAGACCGCGGTGATTGAGTCAAATGTGTTCCAGAATCGAGTGGACTCGCAGTCCATCGATTCCATTCAGCCCTGTTTGTTTTCGTGCCATCAATCATCCGATTCGAACTCTTCTTCCAATGATTCCATGTTCATTCGCACACAAACCTCCGAATGGAGCGAAAAACTCGGAATTGGCGCCGTGGGAACCACGGGAATCACCGCGTTGAAGCCCAGAAAGGGAGCCGAACAATCCACGCTGCGCGTGTTCGGAATCTCCATCACGCCCGCTCCCTTAATTTTTGGAATGACGAAAATCGTGACGATTTCTGCATCCATGGTTTTGTATAACAACACAAAGAAACCAATCAGTTTGCGGCAGGTCCACACGAATTCAACGCTCCTTCTTCCACCCAATCAGCCAACTCCCTTCCATTGGCCGGACCAAAAATCGCCTCTGGAAGTGGAATTCCAAAAATCGGACCATTCTTGGACCGATCCTTGTAAGCTGGAAGTCGGCGAGTCGCTTCGATTGTTGGATGAAGCGAAGCGTCGCGTGCTTCGTGTGAGTTGTGTGATGGAATTGGAGCATTTGAATGTCGTTTTGGACTTCGCGGATCGATTCAACACCGAACTGTTCATCCGCCAATCCACCATCGACAAGACAAACGGAGAAGAAAATGGGGAAACCGGGGAAACCGGGGAAACGTCAATCGATTATTGGCAGCTTCTGCAAAACGACTTGGTTCCCATGGAACTCCAAAAAACCGCGCTGCGGGTTTCCCTGTTTCTCCGCGGCGTGGGGATCAGTCTGATCGACGCATTCCCGCGGGAGGTGATGTACTGCTCGCTGGACGAGCTCACCGTCTCTGTGGAACGGTCCAATCAGAACACGCTGGCCGTTTCCTCGTCGATTACCCGCCTCCAAATCGACAATTCGCTCGCGGGAAGCCCATTCCCGGTGGTTTTTGGCGCGCTAAACGCGGGCGAAGTGGAGGGAGATTCGGTGTGCCGCTTTCTGGAAGTTTCGCTGATGCTGTCGGAGCACCCTTCCGTGCTTCTGCTCGATTATCTGGGTGTTTTCTTGCGACCGATGAGCGTTTCGGTGGACTCGGCAATGCTGGAAGCGCTGCTTTCGATGCTGAATTCCATCGCGTTCCCGCCTTCTCCGCTGGATTCAGTGACCGGAGAGGCGATTCTTCGGAAGTACCCACTGCTCTACTCGGAATTGCCGTTCATCACGAAGATTTCCCAGCGCTATTTGTACATCCAGGAGCTCATGCTTCAGCCGATTTCCGTGAAAATTTCCTTCCACAACGATCCCTCCGCGCCGCTAACCGCGGATTTACTGCCTTCTTCGGCGTGGCTGCTTCCTCTCAAAGCCGTTTTGAACACGGCCACGTCGCTCGTCGCCAATCTGAACAACGCAGCGTTGCAGTTGGATTCGTTCGCGATGAATCAGAGCTACATCGCCCTCACGTCCTTCACCAACAAACTCCTTTCCCACTACATCCAACAAGTCATTAGCAAACTCTATCTCCTCTTAGGCGCTTTCAATCTCCTCGGAAACCCCGTCGAACTCGTCGGAAATCTCTCCGAGGGCGTCCAGGCGCTTTTCTTCGAGCCCGTCCACACACTCATGAAACGTCCCGAAGATTTTGTGGCTAGCGTAGGGAAGGGAACCTCCAAACTCGTTTCGATGACCGCGTACGGCGTTCTCAACTCGGTGAGTCAGATTACGGACTCGATGACGAACGGAATCGCCGCGTTGAACTGGAGCAAAACGTATCAGGCGGATCGTGCCGCGGGGAAAACGGGGATTGTGCACGGATTCACGTCCGGCGTGAAGGGATTGGTGAACGACACGGCGACAGGCTTGCAGAACGATGGATTGAAAGGACTGGTGACAGGAATTGGAACGGGATTGGCGGGCGTTGTGCTGAATCCAGTGATTGGCACGTTGGAATCCGTAACGAACGTGGCAAACGAAGCGAAAAACCGAATCCACGAAGAGAAAAAATTGAAACCCGTGCGAACACCGCGAGCTCTTCCACTGGACGGGTTTTTACTGCCGTATGATCCGTATTTGGCGGAAGGCGCCGCGTTTTTAGCGATGGCCAATCGGTCGGCAATGTTCAATTTGAAACCGAATGAACGATACGTGATTCATTTCGTTGTGGACGACGGAGCACGCAGCCTGCTGCTCACCACATTGAAACTGCTGGTTCTGTCCGCTGGAGGGCGCGTTGAGGGCGTTTCATCGCTGAAGAAAGTGGAATTGGAGCGCGAAGGCGCGATCGTGAAAGTGAAGCAGACTTCGCTGAAGAAAATGTGGAAGCAGAACGATGGATTCCATCTGCAAAGCGAGGAGATCGCGACGTTGTTCGTAGAGGCGGTGAATCGAATCAAATCGACTTCGTTTGACGCGATTGCGAGTTTTGTTCGCGAGGTGGAAGCGAAGATTCAGCCGCAGAAGATGAAGGAAGAAAGCCTTCCCTCGCTGGACTCGCTGAACTCGCTGGCGATTGGTGCGATTCGCTATGTGAGCTGCACGATGATGCGAGCAGGAGAGAGTTTCAATGAGGATCCAAAGCGAAAGCATGTGATGTACAAGGTGGAAGTGCAGGGAGGCGACGTGGTGTGGAATGTATATTTCCGATATACGCAGTTAGAGTAAGGAAATAAAGAAGGAGGGTTGATGGGTAGAGTGTTGCTGGATTCGATGCAGAAGAAGGCGGAGAAGGTGGGAAAATTGGCGTTGTTTGGACATATGGAGAAGCGATTCCGCTCAAGAAGCAGTTTGGAAGCGAGTGTGAAGACGTTTGTGAAGAATTTGGACGAAAATAAGGAATTGCTGCAGGGAGAGGAAGTGGATGCATTTTTGAAGAGACAGGCGTTTGATGTTCGTTGGTGTGAGAAATAAATAAATATATGTATAGAAAAATAACAACAGAAGAAATGAAGTGATCGAATTGTAATTGTTTGTTCCCAAAGAAGGCGTATGTAGAGAGAAACAAGGAATCCATTATTATTATTATTATTATTATTATTATTATTATTATTATTATTATTATTATTATTATTATTATTATTATTAGTCTCCCTTCATTTTATTTCCTATTCTACCCAATTTCGCTCCTTTCTCAAACAAACACACTTATCAAGACATCAAAAGAGTCGTATTTTCTTCGCTTCCTTGCTGCGCCAATTCTCCAAAATACACGATTACCATCTTCAAATGATTATCCACATATCCCTCCACGAACTCCACCATTTCACCAGGATCCGCCAACTGCGCCACTTCCCTCCGATTGATCGTTCGAGGAAGCACGAAAACGACATTCCTCGTCACTTTCCTCGCCAATCGAAATAAAAACGCACCATCCAATCCTTCTGGCAGATCCGACAAATGAAACTCCTCCTTCTTTGCATAATCCACTCCACCCCACGGAGGCGCCAACACCACAACGTCCGCCTTCATGGAAGGAAGCAGTTTGGTCGAATCGCCGCAAATGCAATCGATTTTATGATCAACTTTGTAGATTTTGCTGTTGTGTTGCAGCATTCGCAATCGCTGCGGGTTCAATTCAATGCTAATCACACGCCGACAGGTCCGCGCCAATTGAATCGTGTTACCGCCAATCCCCGCAAACGCGTCGATTGCGACGCCGCAGCTGCATCGAATGGCTGTGTGGAGCGCTAAGCACTCGGGTGTGATGGAAAACAAGCCTTCTTCATCGTATTGAATGCCCCAATCCCAGCGTGAAAAAAGATGGTGTCGAAAGTGGAAATATTTGCGAACCGATCGCGAGAGAACGTGTGTGGATTGGATGGGTTCGTTGATTCGAATGTGGAGAAGGGATTGGGGAGGAATCGGAGGGGAGGATAAAAGAAGAGCTTGGTTTTGGTGGGATAAAAAATCGATTTCGGTGGTGGAAAGTTCGATTGTTTCATTGTCACTGTGGAAGTCGAAGAGAGGTTCTAAGTAATAGGAGAGTGTGCGTGACGATTCAGTCTCCTCAGGAACGTCCATATCGATCACTTTGCAGGGAAGCCAATCTTCATTCACTTTGATTTGAACATAGAGCTCATTTTGGACATGGGAGAACGAGGAACTTGCCTTCTTCTTGTGCTTCTTCTTTGAAGGCTGCTTTGAAGACCCAAATTCGGCAGGGAGACCGAATTTCAATCGTTGCTAAGAGATTAGTTTTCACGGCTATTCAAACCATCATGGACTCTGCTTGGTCCTTTATAGAATCATCTGTAGTTTGTGTTTCGCTTATATCTACTCTGAAAGAATAAGAATTCGACAAACTCGGCTCATTCATGGATTCTGCAAGAAGGGAGCGAACTTCTGTATACTCTCTATAATTCCTACAACATAAATTAGTGAGACCGCCGTTTTTACTGAAAATCGATTCTTCTCGTTATAATACACAAAGGATCTTCGATTTCTATTCTAGTAGTTTCTTCAAACAGAAAGCACTCGGAATAGCAAAAGTCCTTTAGTAGTTGCATAAAAATGCTCTTTTGATAGTCTCACAATCTTTTTTTCTTTGGTTTACTATCAATAAATGCAAGTTCTCTACACGCCAACTCGTTCAAAGTATTTTTCTCCATCACAAAATGAACAACCAAAATGATTCAGAAGAAGAGTATGTGCCTCCAGGAAAACGATTAATCACTCCTCCTGATGTTGTTGAAATTGATCCAAACATGACAGTATTTTGAAGTATACATGGAAGTAACGCTTTAGGAACTATTCCACGTTGGAACACAGGGTTGCAAAGTGACTCGAATCGACGGAATAGCTCATCTCACCAATCTCACCGTATTTCATGCTATTTCGATTGACACGAAGAGCTTGGTGCTCCGTTCAAACCTAATCCACAAAATGCAGAACATGGATACGCTCGTCAATCTAGAAGTGTTGGAGTTATACGACAACAAAATCCACGAGATTAAACACTTCTCCCATTTAGTGAATCTTCGGTTGTTGTTTTGCTTTTCTCTCATTCCCAGTGTTCTCGACCTTTCCTTCAACAAAATCAAAGAAATCCCCGATTTATCTCCCTTACAACGCCTCGAAGAGCTGTTTCCTCTCTCTCCCACCTTCCCACCCCTAGCTACCTCGCCAGCAACGACATCGAAGACATGACCAATGTCTGCACGCTTCCTTCTCTCCGCCTTCTCGACCTCGGCTACAACTCCATCCGCCACATCACCGGCGTCCAGTCGCTCTCTCGCCTCGAAAAGCTCTTCCTCGGCCGCAACAAAATCGAAACAATCTCCGTTTTTTTTTCATTCAAATCGTTTCATTCAGGGATTGCAGGGACTTCGCCTTCGCATTCTCGATCTCCAGAGCAACCGGATTCGCTCGTCGCGCGGCCTTGAGACCCTCGTCGATCTCCAGGAATTGTATTTTTCGCGGTTGAAGTGGAGATGAGATATCTCGCGTATAATGGAATTCCAAAAATCGAGGGGATGGAGGCGCTGCGGAGCGTGAACACGCTCGATTTGACGCATAATTACCTCACCGACACGCAAGGAATGCAAGGATTCGCCTCGCTCGAGTTCCTCTGGGTGGGCTGCGGGGCGTGGCGTGGAGTGTAGTTGTCGCAGAACCCGATTGAGACGTTTGAAGCGTTGGAGACACTCGGCGCATTGTCGCGTCAGTACGGTGTGCTGGAAACGGTGTATTTGGAACACACGCCGATTTATGATATGCCGGAGTATCGAGAAAAGTGCTTGGCGTTGCTGCCGTCGGTGAAGCAGCTGGATTCGTACTCGACGCGTGTTAGGGAATAATTAATCCTTTTGCTTTGTGGAATATTTTTTTGTTGGAATACACTCTGAATACGATGGAATAGCTTGATTTTTTGTTCCATAAAGACCTTTATTATAATCCACGCCATATTGGATCTTTCTGTATATCCATTATCTCTATTTCACTCTGTAGCAATCAATTTCCATTTCAACACACACTGAAAACAAACAATTTCAATACACTAGCTTTTTACATATATTTCTCCATTTATCCTTCAATTCCACATTGGTACGCTCAGTCAAATGCATCTTCCTCCGAATCAGCGCCCAATTTCCCTTCCCATAGGTATTCACGCCCTTGATTAGTTTCGCCTCTTCCTCCGGAGTCCATAATCGGCGTGTCCGCGTAGAGCCGAGCGGCTCGCTATGAATAATCTTGCGATATGCAAGTTTGGATGGAACTGGAATTGGAGGGAAATGTTCGATTTTGATTTCTTCTTCATTATTATTTTTCCTTTTCGAGACGCGAGGACTCGGGAAGATTTGTTTCATGGGAGAGGGAATTGTTTCGTGTGATTTTCGAAGGTTTTTCCTCGCTTCCGAACATTGATGACAGACCTTGTCCCTAGAGGTTGGAAATCGATTTTTCACAAACACGGAGAGTGTGGAGCTATCGGAAGACGAGTTGAGAGTGTCAAGAAGCTTCTGCACCTGCTTTTCACATTGCTAATCGTAATGCGGACACAATGCAGCAACTCCTTCTAAAACTGTGTTTCCACACACAATCTCCTCCATCTGACAAATTATGCCGGAAAGAGTGCGTTGTTTCTTCTCAACGACTAACGGATCGACAAAGGTTGTGATCTATGGAAATCAAAAGTGCGGAGGGAAAGGTACGGCGTCCTTGTCCTCTCCGGTGAGAAATTCAAAAAAGAATTTGTAATGCGTGTTTTCGTGTTCTAATTGTGAACGGACACAACAAAGGGATTGCTACGATCATCAAAAAGGTCTCTGAGCCAAGAGTCGATTTCCTTCTTGCTCCACTCTGGCTTGAAGAAGATACCCTAGAGATTCAGAGGGAGATGATTTGAAACGATCGAGATTTCGTAGAAAAGGGAAAAGGCACTGGCTTTGTTGATCTGTGGCGGATATTTTGCCAACGAAAACTAGAGTGAATGTGGACTCGAAAGCAAACGATATTATCGAGACAATCTTTTACAAGTAAAAAATCACTGTTTGTTGAAAACTGCGAAACCTGAATGGAAAAGGGAGAAACGCACGATTACCTCTTTATCGGCTGAATAGTATAATTTGCGAGTTCGGATCGACTTCGCATAGATTTCGTCATGTGAAAATTGCTTTTCGATATTTTCCTTTTCAAAATCTACACATTAGCCAAAAACAGCCAGAACGGACATTCTACTGCAGGCACGATTCTCTCTTTGATACAATATTCATAGCATATAAGATCATCCATAGTTTAAACTAAAAATGTGTAATACATCAAACAACCGAAAAATGACTTTCCCTTTATTTTCCAAAACGCCTGCTTCGCTTCGACACGGATTTCAGAGCTTCTTTCAGTTTTTCAAACGTGAAGTCTGGCCAAAACTCATCTACGATATACAACTCAGCGTATGCCAGCTGCCACAACAAAAAGTTGCTGATTCGATACTCGCCTCCAGTTCGGATCATCACATCGACAGGTGAATTCCCTGTAGACAGGTTATCCGCCACATCTAGGCCTAACCACATCGGTTTACTGCATACCGCGCATGAAATCCTCCACCGATTCCTCTTCCTCCGATTTCCCTCCATTTTTCACCTGGAGCACTCGCTGCTCTACCACTTTCATGCAGCTCTGTGCGATATCCCATTCTCCGCTGTAGTCTATGCAAACATTCACCTTCAGAGTGGTGTTTTGACGCGTGAACTCCTCCATTTCCTCCATTCTGCTAACCAGTTCTTTGGAAAGCCGATCTCGTGTATATGAAGAAAACACAAAAAGAAAGACGAAAGGATATGTCTCCCGATGAAACGAAGTTGGCAAGCATTGTAAATACTGTCCTTATCTTTCTTCATGGACTCTATCACTTTTCCCATATACAAATTGAAGAGAGTCATTAGATCTTCAACCTAGGGGAAAGGAAACGTTGGAACGGTACCTCTTTGTTTGAACGATTCCAATTCTCGCAAGAAAAGGCATAAACGGTGTACTCCTGAACCCCCAAATCAATACACCATTTGATGGACTCTCGAAATACTTCAGAGCCTCTTCGATGCCCTTCCACCACTTCCAAATTGCGTGTACGCGCCCATCTCCTGTTTCCATCCATAATCACAGCAAGATGTCTCTACGCAGCCATAAACTCATATTCACACACTTCCCTACAATAGGATAAGATTCCTCCCGCTGCTCCGTCATTCCCAACAAATCAATGATTCCAACAAACATTCCACTTCAGCTCAATTCCCCGACTCTTCAAAAATTCAGCAGCGTCTCGATTCCTCTCCTGTGTCATCTTGACATAGTCCTGGAACAGCAGATACGCCTTCTCAGTCTGATAGCGCGTGCATTGAATCGAATCCAAAAGCTCGTCGTCAAACATAAAGCAGCCCGCCTTCCGCACCAGGTAGCGCAGCGTCGTCTTCTGATCCCAGCCTTCTTCTGATGCCACTTCGGGGAGGAAAGTCGCGTGGAACTCGCGGTCGTCCACTTCGAAGTCGATCATGATGCCATGCTTGCCAACCTCCCAATCCAGGGCGTTCTTGGCTGTCTCGAATGTGTGGAGGAGCGATACTTCGCATTCCAGCTCGGGAACCTCTTCCAGCGTCAGAGGTTCAAATCGGCTGTCACCGAAAGCACTATGCAGCTCATTGCGGAATTGAATTCTTACCTGTACAGAGCGTACTTCTTTAAATTATCAAGGGTAATTGGCATCAAACAGCCAATGCAGCCACGAAGGTCGCGTCTGTTCTTGTGGACCTTTTTTAACGTTACAAAAATGCCACTGCAATCAATATTAACAAAGATCAGCCTACTATTTCTGCGCTACATCAAATTCAGGCGCTGCTAAGGGATATCCTGTCAATCTGTTCAGGATAACATCAAAGCAGTACATCATCATCTCCTTCTTAACTACAGACATGGATCACTTTCAGATAGAAAAAAAGTATGTCAGACTGGGACAGTCGCAAAAAGGAGGAACGCAAAATAAAATCGTATATCTCTGCCAATCCTGTAGTGAAATGGAATCTGTTTGAACAATAGCCAAATGTACAAAAGTTGAAAGAACGTGTTTGGATGGAAGTACGCTACTTGCTTCATTTAATATTTTACAGAACGGGCTTCTATCGACGAGTGTGAGAAAAGAAGCTTGGTTGTTGCTCATAGGAGAGGACCCAGATCAAATATTGACGTGTCCAAGTAATTTTACTGCAAGTGAATGAGTTGTAGACTATGAGGAAGCAATTCGTGACTATTCTCAAATCAATGTCGATATTCTGAGAAGTTTTGTGTATTTTTGTCTCCCTTTCTATTCGAAAATAGACATTTTGACGGGTACAAGAAAATCACTCCCGAATTACTGTGTCTCCCACCATTCTTCTCCATTTTAGGCAATCCTATCGAAACGATCTCACACGTGTAATTGTAGCTCTTCTCCACGAAGACCGTTCCCTCTACTACTACCAGGGTTTCCACGACATCGTCGAGTTTTTGCTTCTCTTCAGCCATTTCGACGTCCACTGGACGTACACCTTCATGAAATCACTCACTCGCGCCTATCTCCGCGACTACATGCAATCCAACTTTGACGAAGTCGAAAAGCTTCTCCAATGTTTGTTTCCTTTACTCTCTCTGCGAGCTCCGGAGCTCGTTCCCATCCTTCAAATCGCAGTACACACTCCATTGCACTCTTTCCGATAGAATAAAACGCCTGTGGTGATTCTTCCATGGGTGATCACATTGTATTTCCACTCAAACGAAATGATGTCGAGATTTACACACTCGCTTGCGTCGCTCGGCTGCGTCGCTCGGCTGTTCGATGTGATTTTGCTCCATCCGATCATGCCGATTTACGTTTCTGCGGCTGTTTGTTTGAATAATCGAGTGCGAGTTAGGTCATTCTTCACTTCCGAAGCCAATTAGCGAAGGCGAAAGAGCTGTCGGAAGTGTTTTCGGTGTTGGGAGTGGAAATGAATGGAGCGAATGAGGCGTAGAAACTGAATGCGAAGAAGCTGCCTTTAGAGAAAATCATTCGTATTGATTCGAAAGCAGAGAGAGTCATTGGATAGGAGACACGCAGTTCTTTTATGAGACGATTCCTCCATCGGATTTGATAGTTAAGAGTCGGAAAATGGGCGTGGATCTCGCGAAAACGTATGGAGTATTGGAGGATATTGATGGGTAGCTCGATGATCTTTGAGTTTGAAAAGAAATCCGCTGTAAAACGCCAGCCATTTAAGCAATTCACTCGTATTTTTATTATTGTGCCTTTGCATATTATCTCTGTAGAACTCATTCCCTTTTCTTCTTCTTCGATCATGTCTCCGAATTCGGTTGGAAGCTGGATTTCCATGGCTGTTATCGGTCTGGTCACTGCAGCGGTGGTGCAACTCATCCAACAACACTCTTCTCTTTGTTCCAACAAACACTCTTCTCTTTGTTCCAATAAACACTCTTCTCAACACAAACACACACTCTACATCTCCATCATGTTCCGAAACGTCCCCATATCCACCGTCCTCTACCCTTAATCCCTCATCCAACCCTCACTCTCGGCACCGGAATCCTCGACTTCCCTTCGTACTACGCTTCACTCCCTTCTCCTCGCCTACTCTCGGCTCCGGCATCACTTCCTCCACGATCGACGTCCGCGTCGACAAGCTCCGCAGCATCGGATACCGCATCACCATCGGTACTTCCAGTCGCGACCTCCGTCCTCCTACTCCTCACTTCCTCGCCTCGCTTCTACCCGGCGACCCAGGCGACGCGAACGCTGCGCCCAGCATCGGCTCCTTCGCCGTACGCTGCAGCGGGCTGAACTGTGCGCGGCGCGGCTGCGACCCGCTCGACTCCTTCTTGAGGGTCCCCGAATCGACGGACCGCAGCGACGGTCCCGACGGGGTCAGCGAGCCCAGCGGGTTCGCGGGGTTCGGCGGAGTCCCCGCGGGGGTCGTGGGGGCCAGCGGGGCCAGCGGGGCGGCGGCGGCGGAGGGCGCGGGCTTTGGCGGGTTGGAGGCGCTGGGGGCTGCGGGGGCCGCGCCGTAGGCAGAAAAATAGGAAAATTTCGACGCGGACGCAGAAGCAGAAGCAGAAGCAGAAGCAGAGACGGAGGACGCGGTCACTGGCGGATTTGATGCATTGGACGGATTGGAGGAATTGGGACCATTATAGGAATTAGGGCCATTATTATAAGAATTAGGGCCATTATTATAAGAATTAGGGCCATTAGTATAAGAATTATTGATCGGGGAGTTTCGCCGATTGGCCTTCCCCGCGGTTCCCTTCGGCGAAACGGGCTTCGCCGGAACTCCCAGTCTGGGCGAAACCGCCTTTCCCGCCGAAACGCCCTTCGTCGAAACGCCCAATTTCGGAGAAACCGCGGTTTTCCCCGAAGCCGGCATTTTGGTCGCTGAAACTCCCTTTCGAATGGAATCTTCTTTGGGCGCGCGGGAAATCGGTTGACGCGAAGATGACAAGGCGGGCGACAGCGCGCGCCGATTGGTCGGCTGGTTCCCGCGGGAATACGAGCTCGTCTGCACATACCGCGGGACGGGGCGTTTCGCGGCGGCCTCGGATTTCCACGTTTCCTCCAATTGGACCAAACAATTCATCAGCTGAAACCGCTCCAATGGATTCGGTGCGGGCGTTTCATCGACATAGAGGCCCATTTCGTTCATCCCGTCCGGTAATTCCAGCGATTGGGAAATCGGGTCTTTTTTTGGAATTCCAGAAATCCCCATTTCTTTCTCGAACTGCTCCAGCAGAGAGCCGGTTCGCTCCTCGTCCGACGAAATCTGTCCCTCTTCCATCGAATTCGACGCGTTCGGAATCGTGGAAAACGTGGTAACCGTGGAAATCTTCGGTTTCTCCCCTTTCACGGCGGAATCTTCGAGGAACGAATCTAATGGCGGCAGCGAACCCACCGACGAACCGTCGCTTTCCACGGTTTCCATGATTTCCACCGTCTTCACCGGGTTTCCACCGCCCAGAACCGTGGAAACCGTGGAAACCGGAGGTGTGGGAATCGTGGAAGAAACCGCGGGAGGAGTGAGGTCGTCAGCGAAACTCCCGGCTGTACCTGGCGAAACCGTGGAAACCGTGGAAACCGGAGGTTGTGGATTGTGTTCCGAGGGTTCTGTGGGTTCTCTCGATTCCCGCGGTTCTCTCGCTTTCTGCTCCTTCTCTTCGAGTTCTTTTTCTAAAATTTGGCGAAGATGCTCGCGGTCTTCTTCGCTCACTAGGCGGGAGTTCTTGCGCTTCGACGATCCGAACGGGGAACCCTGCAATCGTGCCGACACCATGCTAACCGCGGGGGGCTCGGGCGCTTTGGTGAGAGACTTCCGGCGCCATTTGTCGTATTTGGAGACTGGGCGTGAGGAGGGAGAATGTGAAAAAATACGAAGCTCTCGAAGCGACTGCGTTGTCATGTCGTTTACAACGCTGCGATTCAAGACTGCGCGGAGAAATGTCATGACGAAGTTTAGATAATCCTCGTTCTATGGGAAATGAAACTAGGAGCTGCCAACTGTATATTCGTCGATTCGATTGTACTTTATTACATTCGTATCAGAAATGCCAAGCCTTTTACATCCTTCCGAAAAGGAAATTATATTGCTATTTTTTAGAGTTACCATATCGCCTAGAAAAAAGAAAGAAAAGACACACAACTCACCTGGTTGAGAATACCACTTGTCAAGAATCACTGTAGGCACCAGCTTTTTAAATAGTGTACATAACGCCTAGGTATTAGAACAAAATAGCAAACTCCACAATTCCATTGCGAAGTGCTGTTACCAGATTCATATCCACTTCTATCCCAGTCTCCTGAAATATAAAATTCACGAGATCACAACGCAACGACTACACATCACACTGGAACAAGGAAAATACGATCGAATTCATAAGTCCCTCTTTTGATCAAACACGTTGAAGTACGTTTCGTCGAATCTGTTTTATCACAAAAAGGACTTTGACGATATATTTGGTCGTTTTTTCGGAATTCCAGTCATCATTCTTCTTCTATTATCATCATCATGGATGATCCTAAGAAGACAATCGAGTCATTAAATGAAATCATCGAGTCATTAGAAAACGATATTCAAAGCAATAAGGTAATCGGTAGTCATTGCTTCAATTTGAGGTTGCGTGCGATTCTGTGATTGAACAATGTTTCGGCCATACAAATCGTGTCTGTCAAAACCCAGATTCCGTTGTATTGGAGTACAACAAACTCAGAGATGAATTTCAACGTATTTCCAAAATTATTGCAGAGGAGGTAGGATCCGTATGTGATTTGCATCGTTAGATTGAAGAGTGTGAACAAATTCAAAACATACAAAAGGAAAAAGAAGAAATTCAATCTCGACTTCGAGTCGCTACTCAACTTTTAGATTCCGTTGCTGATTGTCAAACAGTCTACCAGAAATTAACAACCGTGGATAGTTTTCTACAACAAGAACAGTTTCAACAAGTGCTGGATGACATCAAAACGTGCGAATCGAGATTGCAACAACTGCGTGAAAATGGCAATACGAACCAAACTCTCCTTTCTCTTCTCCAGCGCGCATTTAACCGCAAATCCATCAAAACCCGAACTCAAATCACGCAGTACTTGACTCGTTTCCTCGTAATCGACTCCAACTCCTTTTCCATTTACTCCCAACTCCGTTTTTTCTTCTTTTCTTTTGAACTTATTTTCAGAAGATTCTTCTCTCACTTTACAATCCTTCCTCCACCTTCTTCACCAACTCGATTTGCTCAAAGACCAATTCACTCTTCTTTTCTCCCAACTCAAACTCCTTTGCGACAAAGCTCTCCAAAACCCTTCCGTTCTTTCTCCACATTGCACCTTCCATCTAGATGAAACCGGCTTCCACCGACGAATTCCATGGAACCGACCACTGCATCACATGGTCGATCGCTTCCTCCGTCGGTTCAACTCACCACCACGGGTATTTTCACACTCCAACCTCATCAACACGCAGCCTTTCCGCATCCAACGTGACTTCTCTTCTCCACTTCGTCGCTGCCAATCTTCTCGCGCTCGAGCCACAGCTCCTACCCAGCTTATTCACATCGATCGTGTACATTCCCGTGCAGCAATCCATTCTCGTGTGGTTCAAAGTCCACGTCCCTCCACACTCTCATCCATAGCAGAAAATCCCCAAGGAAAGTCAGGCGCTCGCCGCTTGGAGAGAGAGTCTCACTCCCGTAGATTTCTGAATCGATTTTGAATGTGACGTGCAGGCCGTCGAACTCGAGGAAACCGCGGTGAAGCTCCTCGCTCTGAATGAAACGCCTCTGGAAACGTTCATGAAATCGATCGAGCATGAATGGATCGGGACTCGACAGCAGCAAATCCTGAGCGATTGTCGCCAATGTCTTGAACAATGCTCACAAGAGGGTGTTCTGTATGATCCCTCGCGTGAGGACGATGGTGTGTTCGACGTGTTGAATCGGTTCGGAACGGTCCAGAAAGACATTGAAGAGTCGATCGAAAAGCTGCTTTGTTTTCCTCCCTGCAAAATCTCTCCTTCCTATCACACGTTGGTTCTTCGAATGCATTCTGCCGTGAAAGAAGCGATCCAACTGAAAGAGTGGGGCGATTTCGAACGTTGTGCGATGGATAGTGAGCACGAGATTGAAGAGTTCTTGGGAGTGATTCGCCAGATTTTGATGTTAGTTTTGATTTGTGTGGACTGTTTGTTTTTTTGAGGGGTAGATAACCGCGGTGAGGCAGGATCTGTCGAAGAGAATTGTCTGAAAATAAACAACCTGGGGGTGGTCATGTACCATTTATTCGCGTTTCCATATGTGTATGAGGAGTAATAGATTCTTGCGTGATTTGCGATGGGTAGAGTTCGAAATGTGAAGCAAACGGTGTTGGTTTGTGTTGATTTGTTTCCACGTTTGCGAGAGTTGCAGCATCGTGCGTTCGATTCGATCGATAAAATGATGAAGGAAGAATCGAAAAAGATGCAGCAAGAAGTGTCGGAAAGTGAGGAAAAGGTGGCAGAACAGGTAAAGGAAAGATTAGAGATGCTGAAAAGTTTAACGGGAGGAGAATTGAGAGAGATATTGACAAAGAAAGTACGAGAAATGGCTTCTGGACTTCAGAACAGGCACAGTTTTAAGGTAGGAATCAGAGTGTTGTGTGTAATGAAGGATGAGAAAGCAATTCGAATACTAAAAACAGTTACATTATGTGTTGTTTGTTGTGAAAAATCACTTCTTTGATAAGTATTTTAATAAGGTTCATAGGAACGAATGTCTAGAAAAGATTTTAACAAAATAATACAAAGATAGGTAATTCTTATCATTTTGGTTGAAATGATGTATTATTAAAAGGAAATCAGTATGTATAATATGTGGAATGAATTACGGGGAAATCACTAAATCAGATAAGATTGCTTCATATTATCATTGCTTTAAACATCATTACAAAGTTATTTGTGTAAAATAGACAGCAAATACAACCAAAAACGACGAAATAGGTTTACATTGTTGTAATGATATAGCATGTAATAGTATATTACTATTTCCATTATTGTATTTCTTTTCATTTCGATGCATATTGTACTTCTGCCACTTCTCTCATTCGTTCATTTCATAATTAGATGTTTATTATATTATGTCCAAAGAGATGTGAATGAGAAATGAAAGTGGATGGCTGGATTTCACTCATATTGAGTAATAGAGAATGTGTAGTATTGCAATTCGATAATGGAATATTCATGAATCAAGGATTTGTTCTCAATGAGCAGAAAGTGTTGAAAGTGTTTGGAAATCATCAAATTGGTGATATTTCATATAATGAAGAACAATCCATTGTAGTAGAGGGAATCGTGGATTTGGATCATGGAACTCGATTTGAAGGAATGATATTGGCAGAAAACAATTTTGGAATTCCATTTGGATATGGTGAAATGTATGATGATGATGGAATATTGGTGTACAAGGGCATAATGATCAATTGGAAACGATTTGGCTATGGAGCGAGTTATCATAATAATGGTTTGATTGAATATGAAGGATATTGGTGTGATGATAATCGATTTGGAATTGGCAAAGTGTATGATCGATATGGTAAATTAGTGAAAGAATGTGAATGGTGTAATGGAATTGAAAGTGATACTGATGAAAAATATGAAGGCGATGGAAGCAAACCACTGAATATGGGAATCAAACATTTGAAACTGATTGACAATTGTGTATTGGTTGATTGGAATGTTACATTGTTGTATAATTTGAAATCTATCGAAATCGGCGATGATTGTTTTGGATCAGTGAAAACATTCAAAATCGACGGATTGAATCGATTGAAAACTATCAAAATCGGAAACAATTTATTCACTCACAAAAAGAATAGGTATGGAGGTGATGAATCGAAATCATTCCACATATTGAATTGTGAATCATTGGAATCCATTCAAATTGGAGAATATAGTTTCAGTGGTTTTGGAGGCGACTTTGAATTGAAGAATCTACCACAATTACAATCCATTCAAATTGGTACAATCGGAAGTTATTCAGGCAATTTCAGTCATTGTTCGTTTGTGCTTCGAGGTATTGATATGATATTGAATATTTGAATGATGCATAGATCTTCCAAATCTACAATCCATTACATTAGGTATTAGTGCATTCTTTTATTCCTTATCAACCAAAATTGAAAGTATTGAATGAATTCGAATGAAATGATTGATATAGATCTACCGTCATTACAATCCTTTCAACTTGGTTGGAATGTACTTGAAGGAAGATGTGTAGATGTATTATATTCATTGAAAATGCGCAGTAACAATGAAATGATTCGATATGATTTGCTTTGTAGATCTTCCAAATCTAAAATCAATAACTTCTGAATAATGTAGCTTCAATTCGCCTGTTTTAGTGACCTTAGAAAGTAATTAAAAATTGAAGTTTGAAATAACTTACATATTCCAAATCTTCAAAATGTCAGACTACCTGATTCATTCTGATATGTTTTTTCGAAATCAATTTCGAGTATTTTTCGATTGATTATTTATGATTCAAAGATGTTACTGCCATTCTGGCTAATGTTGCCTGAATCATAAGGTAACGAAAGCACAAAGTCCTAGTTCACTTGTATACAAAGTATATTTAATATCTTCCTGTTGTTTGTTAATTACACAGTACTATCTCACTATACTATGGATGGTGTTTTGTTACATAACGGTTATCATTGTGCTTCCAAAATAATTATTATGCTTTGTCTCAAATCAATACCCTTAGTCTTCTGATCATTACTCACAGTTTGATCACTTCAAAGAATAACTCTTTTTTCATTCCTGTTTTGTTATACTCATCACCACTCTCACGAAGGTTGTAAGCAATTCTTCATGTTTCAAATCACCTATTTTTGTATCGATCAATAACAATAGCTCCATTGGTATCAATTGCAAAGAATTGTTTATTCTTCATTCAGAAATATGGTAATTGAAATTGTACATTCTTCGGGAGCAAAAGTGGTTGTGGATTTGTTTGGAGCCACTGTTGTTTCTTGGATTCTTCCTTCTGGAAAGGAAATGCTTTATCTTTCATCACTCGCTGATCGATCTGGTAAAAGTCCAATTCGCGGAGGAATTCCAGTGATTTTCCCGCAGTTTTCGAATGGTACTCTTTTTTGTTGTTTTTTTAAGTTCTGAGGGTCCTTTAATGAAGCACGGATTTGCCAGGACATCTACATGGACGTCTGATCCTGTTTATGAAGAGGATGGTTTTAGTGTCTGTCATTTCCATCTTTCGTCCAGCGAAGCAACGAAAGCATTGTGGAACCACGATTTTGCACTCACCTATACTGTTCGCGTCAATGCCTCCAGTTTGTCTACCCAACTTCGGTAATCTGTTATTTTCGAGTGTTTTATGCTTAGTATATCCAACACTGGATCGAATTCGTTTGACTGTCAGTGCCTATTACACACTTACTACTCCTCTCCCTCGATTCTCACCACCTCCGTCGCAGGCCTTCAGAACCACAAAGGCGTTGAGTCCGTAACCACCGGCACACGCCGAGGTTTCCACTTTTCTCCTTTTTTCATTCCCGTAGAATTCATCGAGCCTCACGCCCGCATCCTTTTTAACAGCGAAACAGACGCCAAATATTCCGACGTGACGGCCCCGGTACGGTTTTTCTTATTTTCTTTGAAGCGAAGATCGAAATTGAAATGGCGGATCGAAAGATTCGTTTGGAGATCGAATCGATTCTCGATGAAAAGCAAAAGAAAGCGGATTGCGTGGTGTGGAACGCTTGGGTGGGGCAGCGAGGGAGGGCTGAGGCGTAGATTGAGAAGTGCAGAGCGATTGGAGATATGGAGGATGAGGATTATAAGCGATATGTGTGTGTAGAGCCGGGATGTGTGAATGGGATGACGACCGTGGAGGCCAAGAAGGAGTTGGTGCTGAAGCAGACTATCGTAGTAGTGGAAGAGATGTGGATTGTTTGTTGGATACTGGGAGGGAATGGAGGAGGGAAAATGACAGATTATCGATCCAGACTGAACTATTTGTATGCAGTTTGGAATTCGGAGAGCTGGAAAGGGGGCAGTTCGTTTTTCAAATGGATTCTTCCGGAGGCTTAGGGGAACAGCGAGTTGTTCCATTTCTCCTACTTTTTCGTTTAATCGGAATTATTTTCCATCTGTAAAAGAATTTTCTTATCCAACTGGACTTCAAGCGAACTCCTGTCAAATAAGCCGGTATCTACTTAGTTTGAAAGAATTATAGTTTAGGTCGTATACTAAATCGGTGAAAAGTGATAGGAGCCGTATTGATTTGGCAAAGAGTGACCATCCAAGTCAAGAAGAATGTACAACAATATTAGCAGATCTAAAATGCCCCATTGTCAAAGTAGAATCGACTTATTATACAATAATCTGTAGAAGCGCGAGACGATCGATTATGTGATTCAGAACAATATTTCGGTGCCCATTCATGTATATTTCTCTACAACTCACTACATAGTCTTGGAACAAATGCATCTACAATCTCTACAGTCAACGTCAACTTGATCATCTTCTCAAGATTGCTTCCTTCCTCCAGCAAACCAATCTCGTTTTTCACCCGCTCTTTCTCTTCATTCCTAGCTCTCCTCTCTCAATCCCTCCTCCCTCCGCTACCTCCTCCGCACCTCCGCAGATGTCAACAATCCCGCGGTTTTCTCCACATTATGGGAGTGCTGCAATCGCATCCAATGGAAATCGGAGAAAGAATTCTTCCTCACCCACGGTGCTTTCTTCCTCTCCCCTTCGATTTCTCTATAGGCATGTATATCCGCGGGTTGCTCAAGTTCCATCGAATTCGCGAGGCGCTTTCGGAGTATAACAAATATAATCGTTATCATCACGTGAACAATATGATCAATACCCTCGTGTTGGAGGGACTTTTCGAGGCAGGCTTCCCTGCAGACTGTCTCGTTCTCTTCGTCACGCTGCTACTCGACGTCCAGTTCGATCTAAACCCGAACAATCTCGTCGAAGTCGACGGCGAGCAGCTCATCAACTGGACGAAAAACCTCACAAACGCTTCCCTCGGCGTATCGATGGATTCCAGAACCAATTTCTTCGATCCAGACACAAAAAAGAGACTTTTTGCGTCAAGGAGTTCCACGGTTTCCACGGTTTCCACGGTTTCGATGGAGAGTGGGGAGAAAGAAAGAGAAAGAGAGTCGGAGGAGGAAGAGCCGGTGAGGCTTCGAATGCGAAAGGATGATGCGATTGGAAGTTATCTTGCATTGAACAAACGAGCTTATGAATATGCGATCAGTTCTGCGTGTAAACTGAAGAATTTTGAATATGCGACGATGTTGTATTCGATTTTAACGTCGAATCGAGTGCGTCCTCGGAAGAATGCGATGTTTTCGATGCTGTCTGTGTGTTTTTGAGTGAAGCGAAAGTGATGAATAGTTTGTGAGTGAAAGTGATTGGAATGCGATGAGCGTGAAGTGCCAGAATTCGATCGAAACGCTTCATTCGATTCCACTCACTTCCGAAGAGTAGCCATTGTGGTTGTTTGTTGTTGAAATAGTAAAGAACGGATTCGAACGAATTTTCTTTTGCGACTTCCAATTCTTGCAAACCGATTTTTACACGATTATGAAAAGTTTTACGGTCCGATTGTGGAACGATGCGAGGATTCTTCCATTTTAAGTCTCTCTTTTCTTTTCTTATTGAACTGAAGAAGTCGATTTAAATGTTGTTCCAGAGTCTGTCGCTATCGAGTTCTTTTTGTATTCTCTCATTTCTGCGGTGCGGTTGGCCAGCGATGATTTCATGTGGCTGAAAGGAACCCTCTCCATGAAATTGAATTTGAAATATGATAGATTTATGGATTTGCTAAAAACGGGCTTTTTTCCTGCGCTGCCCTATGAAATGAAAGGTTTCATACTCCGGATTCCTATAATCGATTTACAAGAATGGTTTGAGCAACAATCGAATTATAGCAATCCAGAAATCGCAATGATATTGCAAGCATATCGGAGTAATTTCGATCTGGATTCTGGTGGGAATGATCCAGTATTTCATCTTCTTCGTGCTATTGAAGTAATCGCTCAGCAAGAGGTTTGTGAATTGGCTACACCGTTGAATCAGCAAATGGACATTTCTGAGATGAGTTTGAAGTTACGGCAGGCAGAGAACGAAATGAAGAAGAGAAGGAAAACAAGTAACTCACTTCGAGAAAAGCTAAGATCGATTCGTCATTGTCTTGTTTGTTTTTGAAGTGTTGTATAGAATGAGCACGGATTAATCCAAAGTAAAATAGGATTCTGAATCTGTGGTTTTGGCGTACTTATAATCTAAGCTGAAACAACAAAAATATAGCACACTGGTGATAGAGTTATGCAACATACTAATAAGAGGTTCCATTCGGTAATTCACTCCAACAGTTTACTACAACATTGGAGAAGAAAAGCTAATAAGCACAAAGAGAAATAAGTATGGAAATACGAAACGGAGAAAAAAGAACAGCATCGAGACTTCTCAGCGAGTCACCCACACTGGTACTAACTCGACTCGTGATGACTTAGCTTCCTAGATCGGACGGGTTAGGGCGCTTTCCATCAGATATGGCCGTTCTCATTTTATTATTATTCAATTACCTATTTAAACATCACATTCTTATCATCATTCACTCACACTCCATTTCAATTACACTCAATTCTTTTTATTTCATTTCTCTTCTTCTTTTATCATCATATCAATTTACTGAGCGAGTGAATGAATGAGTGAGCTTTTTGTTTCATACGGATGCCTATTGCGCATTATTGTATGCGTTTGGCCATATTAGGTTAGAGTTATTTTTTCAGACCCTGTCGGTTGCGAACCAACAGCTCGTAGTTGACCCTATTACTTAGTTTCTATCGCTGTTGCTGACCTTGGATAACTAGTTTTTTGCTCATTATAAAAAATTTGGCGTGAAATATTAACTATATATTAATATGCTAACCTTTTCTGTTTATGGTAAAGAGAGGTAAGCCATGTACTATTGCATGCTCATCCTCGGTTCATTTAGTAATGGTATATACTCGTGGATCAACCCTTACAAGTATCGGAACCCCTTATCACTTCCATGACTGTATTGTTCCGACCAATGAAACAACTCGTTTTTATAGGTCACAAAAACGAAAATACACGATTTCTAGTGTATATACATTGTCGTCCAAGATCAATCTCTTGTTATCGGTGCATGTCATGAGTGTCTTGGTTTGATTCTTTGTGCTAATTGTGAATTCCTGGTTATTGATACGTTTGAAGCTGCCCTCAATCACTGCATCTCCCTTCTTCTCAGCCTCAAGGACACGCTTGTACAACTCGGTGTTCTTCACACGCATTTTCTCACCATCGATTGCCACATTACAAAGAACTCCCTTTGCTGTATTTTTACTACGTTCTTCTAATCCTCAAGACAGTACATCTTGTGTCTGAGTGTTACAAACTCGGTAATGCGATGTATGCTGTATTCATCCTTCAAAATAGGTCCCAGCAGCTTCATCTTGAAATTGAGGAATGATGAGAGCGGAGGGAACTTGTTCTTGTCCACCTCCTGATCGTAATAGTTCACAAATTGCCCATAGAAATAGCTCGTGTTTTCCAACTTCAAGTAGTCAAATGACTTGTACATGTCACACATCTTGTGAATGGTGTTCCCTTGATCATTCAACTGCGCGAAAAGCGAGCTTGTGTCTTGTCCCAGTAATTCCACGTTATGGAATGTCGTCTTGAGCACATCATAGTAGAAATCGTATATAATGTGTTTGGACATGCCCAGAAGGCAAATCTGATGAAGAATGGTTTCACCACTTTTTCTCACCGCTTTATTCCGATTGATACTGATCAGATTCTCGGATTATGTGGTGGTTCCTGCGATCATATCGTACCAATGCTTCTGAATGATAGCCTCGCATTCATTCCAAGTGGTGGCGAACTTCACTTTCATTCGATTCAGTTTAGTTTCCACGAATTTGCCATGTGTTGAGTTTGCTAATAACTTGTATAGGTTCTTCTCCACAGTGGTGTTGAACTTGGCTCATTTCTCACTTAACATGTTCACATATTCGAATATGAATGGAGATTGTTTAAAGGGTGTATACATTATACCCTATGAACGAAATCAACCAAAGTAAATTGAATCAATCAATGTCGTACATATTCAGCAGCAATGGAAACAATTACACGTTCAAGAAGCTCGATAACATGCTCATCTATATGCCAGAGAAGGACGGCAAACATGTCCTCGTGCATGAGACAGTGGATGGCGTTCATCAATATTCATGGACGACACATTCTGGTTGTTTTGTGAAAGTCAATAATGCCAAACTGTTTGAACATACACCCATATCCACTCAACCATTCAATAATCAATGCTAATTCCAATTATCTTCTGCTTTATATCTCATAATCACATCGATTCCATGTTACAATGAGAATGATACCTTATTCAAACATTGTGATTCCATCGAATCGATTGTGGATAAGGGATACAAGGTGAGTGTTTCAATGGATGGTGTGTGATTGCTCGATATGCCATTCATCGATACACTCAACAATCTTGTGACCCTTTCCCATACCAAACTGATAAATGGAATCGAATGGACAAGTGAGAGTCATACGATCTCTGTATTCACGAATATCCCTTCTCTTGTATGTCTGAGAGGTGTGAAGAGCATCACGATCGTTTTCAAACACTTGAGCGAGGTTGTTGTTTCTTCTTCTTCTGGGTGCTTGTAATGGGTCGATGTGATCTTGCTATCTCTCTCAATGCATTGGGTTCTTTATCACTCTTGGATTGAGTGACAGGCGGTGCTGGTTGTGGTTTGCATTTGCTAGCCAGTAGTTCCCAATCATAACACTTCTGTGTGCTATCCCTTTCCACATTCTTCACTTCGTACATCAATGGCATGATGTGATCGTCAATGTCAACCACTTCAATCAAGTCCTGAGACCATTTGATCGTCAATGATCGCTTTTCCAGAATGCGAGGTCTTCGTGTCACTCGAACATAATCACCAACATCGAATTGAGGTGTTGTGTCCTTTGCTGAAATGTTGGATGGTTCTATTTTCTCCATGTACAAGATATCGTTGTTGTTGTTAAGCCAAATGTCATTGGGTGTATATCCGATGTCTCTGTTCTTCCTTCCATTATGTCTACGAACTGCACCATCGATCAAATCAAGCCATACACCTTTCCATTGATTGATTGATTGAATGGAACCATGATGTCTTCCTTGATATCTCGAATTGCTCGTTCAGCTAGTACTGCCTTATTCGCTGAATCCATGTGATACATGGTGATATCATACTTGTTCAAGATGTTGATACGAAAGATGGCATTGGTGAATTCGGTACCTCGATCCGAGCAACTATACTTTGGTGATTCACCATATGTCTGAATGATATCCTTCATCGCATGAGTGACTTCTGTAGCACTCTTGCTTTTCAGTTTCTGAGTCATCAGGTATTTCGAATATCCATCAATACATACAAGGACATATTTGTATCCACGATTCTTGTAGAATCCAGTACTCTTTTATGATCCTAATACTTCCTGTATCGATTTGTATTGTTTTGAAGAGAAATCGATAAGATCGATGAAGTATATGTTTCGTTTGAATCCACTAATGATCATTCGAGTGGCACCTCTTCGTTTTGCTGGTTTCCATAGTTCCTTGATCTGATTTATGCTCCACACACACCTCGATAAATGAGTCACTTTATTCAAGGAATGAATAAGTTGTGTCAGAGAAAGAATCACAAACTGGTTATAGACTCGAAATGCATTTTCTCCACTATACACTATTTCAAATAGAGCATCACTCGCATTCAACATTGCGATGATCGTTTTGATATCATATGTACCTCGTAGAATCGATAGAATATGGAGAGTGGATCCAAATACACTCATAACTTGTAGCCATTGTGGAAATTGAGAATGTAGTATTAATCATGGTGTTCAGAATGGCAATGATTTCACTCAGTGTATAATAACCAGGCGAGATCGTTACCTCTTCACCATTGATATTTGTCACCACATTGGTTGAGTCCACATTATTGAACATGACTTGATTGGGTTTGAATAGAACAGTCATGGAAATGATAAATGGATTTCTGAACTTGAAAGGATTGATCCATTCGAATGTGCCATTGATAGGTGAATCTTGTATAAGAATGGAATAATGCATGTTTTCTCTTTACCAAAGACACTTATGACTTGCATAGACAACAATAGATGGATTATGATGACAATATACACATTGGGTTTCAGCTATACAATTAAGCAAACAAACATGTAAATACGAGAGAAATAACAATAATTCACCTTTGCTAGGTATGTCTACTACTTTCTTGTACCCATGTATAACTGATACAACAAACACAACAATAGAAACGAGCACAAGGTTGATAGTAGAAAGGAATCGGAGTAAGAAAGCACAAAACCTGGTTCCTGACCGATGATTGTCGACCAGACAGCCTAGGAATGATAGTCGAGGACCCAGAATCGGTTGGTCGATTACAACAATGGACAAGAGATCGCAATTGTGGTCATTGTGCAAAATAGCATATACAGAAAACTGCTACAAGGTTTCACGCAAATAGTGCCATTCCCTTACTACTGTTGTTCCATATTAATGAGGTTTAAGATGGCTACAAGTTGATAAATCATATTATTATTGATCGAAAGAGCTTTTTGTTTTTGTGAAAATAGGATCATTTTTGTTATGTGACATGTATCAAATATGGATGAACTCATCAATAGAAATAGGAATGATGAATCAGTCATTTACCACAAGTATTGTTGTATTTCCTTTGATATATGACTAATCTGTATAATACAGTCTCGAGATACTTTGAATTAATACTTGGATAATGAATATCTGCAATAGAATAACAACAAATGTGTATTGTTTCATTTTGGTGCATATTGTGTGATATGAATTGTATCAAAGCCCATAATGAATTCACATTCTAAATATGACAACTAATAATGTTGCTAGTTCGTGTTATAAGCTGAGAGAAGGAATGAGCAATATTAACAAACAAGAGTCTTCACAATAGTTATTCTCAATAGTATTGATTGTGAATAGTTGATGTTCTGTCATCATTATTGTTTTGTATGGGAAGATAGAATAATGTGTATTTGTGATTAATTGTATATTTAGGCTATTAGTATATTCCATGGAATAGAATACTGTGAAAATAAGATAGGTATGTGTGGAATAA